CTCTCTCTCTCTCTCTCTCTCTCTCTTCCTATCATGTTTAACGCTTTCTTTTCTCACTTTGAAGGACTGGTTGAGTTCCTAACTGGAGAAAAATATGTGTTGGAGCACCTGAGAAAAAGCAATGGTACTCAGGGGTAACACATGATCAATATATCAGCTGCTAATTGGTTACAAACAATGCTGTTATGTCTTGTGTCTTCAAACTAGGAATAATATCAATAAATCAAATTTCAGTAAACCAAATACTCACATGCTGGATTAAGAGAGGGAAAAAGGATAGAAAATTTCGTTGGCTTATTAAATGTATTCCATTTCTTAGATATGGGGTAGAGCACTATATGTCTTTTACTTCTTGCTTACATTCCTACACTAGCATGAGCCAAGAATTGCTTGAAACATGAAGGGACTAGATCTAATTTTCTGCACTGGCTCTGGACAACACACAAAAGTAGAACATAGAAGAACTTGGATCAACATACATTCCAATCTGATCACCAACCTTGAGTCTTCTCCTAACAACAAAATGTGTCACCCAACCAAGCTTAAACCCGAAGACACTTCCACGTCTGACCTTCCTAAAGGAAAGTTCGTGCTGACTTCCGGTGTCCAAATCAACCATCTTGACCCTCAAATCTTCTCCTTCCCTTGCCTTCTCGACCTTGTCACTGCCAATGCTGCACAGAACATGTTCTGCCTCCGCTCTTGTGAACTTGAACATTCTGTTCAACGCGACGTCTGGCTCAGCTAGGACCTTCCTGATCTTCCATTGGCTCAAATCGGTTTGAGGTCCAACGGCAGGGATTTGCACTTTGTTTCCCTCCTGAAAAGCGGCATTTCTAGTTCTCATGGGCATTCGAGAAAACATGTTATGAGGTTTATTTTGAGGTTGTTTACAAGGTTTTTATAGAACCAGAACCTTTGAACCAAGTATTTGTTGGCAATGTATTAAATGTTTGCTTATTCATTCCTATTACCTATTAAAGAAATGCACTTTTACAAGGTGTCTACTTATTCCAATGCATTTTAAAATTTAACCTTCTTAAAGCGTTTGTTATGATATTTTGCTTGAAACTAGGAGGTCATTT